TCGCGGACGATGTAGCCTTTAAGTGTGGGGGAGGGAATAATTTGGGTGCTTTCTATAAAAAAAATGGAGTTTTTGAAACTTTTGCTTGAATGACTCATTGAGTTTTGTGTGAATAAATTGTCTATCTATGATTGAAATTGTGATTACTCCCTACTTGTTGGTTGGTGGTTTGATTGGTGGTGCTTGTTGCAATGCAATTTGTGATTGATGATTTGAGGTACACCATATGATTGATCTATTCTCTTGCCAATTGCCTTGTTAACCACTTAATAAATGAATAAATTTTTGATCTTGTGTGTTATGCTTTGCTAGTGAAGGCTTATGTGAGCTTCCGGTCATGTTTGTTTTGCTAGAACTTGCCTAATTACTCCCCAAGTGAAGCCCAACATTTGCATGCTTTGAAATGATTTAGGCCGTTTTTGTTTAGCCCAAGCCTTTAAACCTACCCTTACATATGTTTTTATCATTCGTTGTCCCCGTTGAGCCTTTTGTTTGTTTAATAAGTGCTAAGCACTTGTTTACTCTTTGTGATTTTTTTTCCTTGTGTTAACCCTAATCTTTTAACCTTCAACCCTTAGCCAAAAATATTTTCCTCCACCCTTGAGAGAATAGAGCATTTGTTCTTTTTCTTAGAAGAGATCTTTATTGGAGCTTGTTTTATAAGTAATCCTCTTGATAATTTTGCCTAAGTGTGGGGGTCTTGATTCATTGAATAAGTTTGTTGGTTGATTTGTAAAAAAAAAAAAATGACGTTTAAAAAAAAAAAAAAGAGAAAAGTATTGAAAAAGTGATGAAAAGAGAAAAAATGAAAAGAGAAGAAAAGAAGAAGAATAAAAGTTTGAAATTTGTTTTGAGAGTTGTACTCAACCCCCACCACTTTAGAGGTTTGTTTTGTCCTTTGAGTCTTGTTTGCTCCTTAGTCCATAGATGTTATATCTCTTCTAGCTCTAATTGTGAATAAATGTGAAATTCTCTCTTTTGTTTAATTTCCATACCCCTTCTTTGTTAACCTTTCACCCTTAGCCTCGTTACAAGCCAATAAAAGTCCTACTTGATCTTAGCATGCAATCTTAGAGTTGAACTAGTGGGAGTATGAAGGGCAAGCCTATGGGATCTCATTCAAAGCCAATATTTGCATAATCTCAACTTAGTATTGTGCACACTTGATCATCACACACTTAAATAATTTTGGTGCTTGGTTATTGGCTTGAGAATGGAACTTGTGTGGAATGCTAAAATGATTCTTGAAACAAGTTGTGTTGTAGCAAGTTGGCTTGTGGATTGACAAGTTGAGCAAGGTGGGAGTGTGATCAATTTCTTTGCTAGGATAGTGATTTATTTTTGTCTTTTCTTGAGGACAAGCAAAAGTTTAAGTGTGGGGGAGTTGATAAGTGCATTTTTGTCTATATTTTTACCCCTTCTTGAACCCTTTTTATTTGTGAATTGCCTAAAAACTTGTGTGAATTGTGACTAAGTTATGTTGGTTTTATTTCAATGTGCAATCATTCACAACAAGTGAGGAAGTCAATGATTTGTGGGAAGATACGAGCAATTTTGGGACCAAGAGATCAATCAAAGAGTTTGGAATGCATTTAGAAATTTTCAGCAGCCTCGTACCCCCTTGCGTACGCCCATCCATCAGCCCATCCAAGATCTCAAAAAAGAAGCAGGTGGCATACGCCCTGCCGTACGCCCGTAGCCCATATGCCCTTTCCAGTGAACCAAAATTAAATTGTACTGCCTCAGGGATTGCCGTCCCTAAGGCAGTACCTCTGTGCTCTGTAAAATATTTATGCGATTTTCTTGGATTTTTGGGGGGGAGTTAGAACCCTAAATAGCTAGAACTCATTTCTCTTCACTTCCTTAGACTTCCTTAGCTTAGATTAGTCTAGTATTACATCTCTAACTCATCTAGCAAGCTTGTAAACGCGGATTGGAGTGGGATTCAATCACAAAATCTTCATCTTCAATAGAGAAGCTTCTCACTCTTCTTTTATGCTTTTGTGCAATGTTTATGATATTTTCTTGTGCTTTGTTGTTATTTATGCTTATGAAGTGTGAGTAGTCCGTTTTTGGGCTCGGATTAGGGTGATATTGCCAACCTAGATGCTAAATAGGTGATTATTGCATAAGGGGAAAGATATCTAACCTAGGGTTCATTTATTTGTGAGGGATTTATGTTGAATCTTGTTAATATTTGGTACGTAACTCTTATTAACTTGCTTTTGGATAGTTTTTCTCCACAATGAAAGTTGGGGGAAGAACTTAAGCCTCTCCTTTCTCTAAACCCATTTTCTTTCTATGAAAATAGGGAAGAATTGGGGGCCTAAATGCTTATGTGCTTTAAGAGCTAGGAATTGATACACCATGAAAGTGGGGCGATCCTTGCTCTAATCCTTGTTCTTTAGCTTATGAAAATGGCTTTAAGCTAGGATTTTTATGTGTTTTGCCCTTATGTTCCCTTGGTTGATGTTCTCCCCTAATCCCTAAGTTGTTAAAGCATCTAGAAGGCAACATCCCCTAATTTGAGCCCATCTTTTATCATTGTGTTTACTTGTGTTTAAATTGCATTGTCTTAACTAGATTTTTAGCCTTTAATTGTTGACATTACCCAACCATGAATTTGAATTTGCTTGGATTCTTGTGGGTTCCAATACTTCGGTGCCTAGAATTTTAGTTGTCACTCAAGTACGTGCCATAGTCCCAATCCCTTGCGGAACGACAATTTACACCCGCTACTCACCATCTCTTTCCCGTACATATGAACATTCCTAACTTAGACAAAACAACCTTGTCTGACTTGAACACCATGCGAAAGCCATGCTTGTTCAACAGAGAGCCAAACACCAGATTCTTCCTCAGCTCCGGAACATACAGTACATTGTTCAACGTCAGTTCCTTCCCGGAAGTCATCTTCAGAACCACCTTGCCCACGCCTTCCAAGGCAGACTGAGCAGAGTTTCCCATCCAATGTGGGACAAAGTCCACTATTTTCCCTTCATTTCCCAACTCAAATGGGTCTACTTTGAGAATCAATATCTCATTCACCCATTATCCGTTTTGAGCGTACAATATATCAATCTCTTCGTCTTACTACGAAGAATCTGAATCCACTTTGACCCGACCCAAATCAGAAGTGGACCCCTTGATAATTGTACCACAAAATAACCACTTAATATGTCATTTTATGCCATTTTAAGCTAATTTTTCCAACAAAGCTTCCATGGTCGCCGACTCACCGGTGAACTCACTGTAGCTTGATGAGGAAGAACGCTGCGCCGCTTCGACAAAGAGCATATGTTTTGTCTCTGGACTCGCTGCTATGTCGAAGTTGAAAATATATACAACAGCTCGACTCTGCTTTAGAACCGTCAGATGAACATAGAGCCATGTGCTCGGCTCGCTCTTTTTCCTTTCACATATCCCACAGCTCTTTTTTTATCTGTTTCGCGTGTCAGTGAACATACATAATATGACTTTTCCTTCTTTTATATTATTCCACTTGGCGTGAGTATATATATTGCATGATCTATAATCCATGATTCATATTCGGTTCCCACTTACATATATTAAACATGCATATATAATATAATCCATCAGTTTGCTTGTGTGCATAATATACGCATATAATCTACATATATGTATACGTGATACGTGTATACACATAATATATATTACATGGGTTACTTTGGGTACTGAGTACACGTATGTGACGTGAAAATTTCTTCCAACGCTTTCATGGCAATTTTCTTTGAGTCCAATCCTTAAAACGTTTCTCCTTGTTGACATTTTTGGACTTGCCCATTGAATGTTAATGCAACTTCATATATCAAGAACCATTCATTTTCAACAATGATGGTGGGATCTGACAAGACAAAAACCCATAGTGTCGAGCAATGAAATTAGAAAAGAAAACATGTCACACCAAGAATCCCTTCGAGCCACGACTTTGAGTGGAGAACTTGACTCTTGACACCGAAACTTAGCCCTCAAAACATGGGATCTGTAGTTCGACCCACGACATGTGGAATATTCAGATATACTCCCGACTTTAGGGAGATGGATACTTGAAGGTGTAGCTTCGTGTAACTAGCACCCTCTCTTTATTAAGAGTGACTCAAATTCTATCAAGGGATACTCGGAACAAACTGAGGCAGTTTCTACTCGCGCAGGGAGTAGTTTCAACTCGTGCCAGGGAGTCTTAGAGGATATGCGGCAGTTTCGACTTGTGCCAGGGAGAAGATATGAGACGGTTTTGACTCATGTCAAGGAGTATGCTTTAGCTTCCTCCCTTTAAAATTTCATAAAGGGTTTGTCCCTATCAGCTGGCAAGTCAAAATGCATGTGACTGCATGCTGTTAATATCGTTGAGGCTTTCGAAAATTCAACCAAGGCTGAGACTACAGTTTCAAATGCCAAGGCAGAAGTCTCTCTCATCGAAGAGTCGACTATGTTGACGCTAGAAGATGAAGAGAGCTTGAACAAGGCGGAGATGAGCTTATAGGCATGTAGAGGTAATTGACATGCTTAACCGTGGGCTTTTCATCGACTGATGTTGTTTTTCCTTTAGTCGTTTCTCTTTTTGCTTGCAAGACTGTTGTTGTTTCTTTTTCTAACTCTTGATAATCGAGTGCTTCTCATTTGTGTGTTGGTCTTTTAGCAACAATTCATACAACTTTGCTTGACCCATTGAATGATTATCTTGATACACCACACTCTTGCAACATGAATTGGATTTGTTTTGTTATGACTGAACTTAGATAATTTGATTTCTAAGCTGCCTACGTACTCCTATGAAGGAGATCAAGTCAAACGTAGTTCAAATGATTTTTTTGATAAAGTAGAGCCGTTCACAGTTTAGACTCATGCGGGCCAGGAGCGTCTATGATTTGGGCCCACCCATAGACAAAGCGAGATGCATTAGCAGTTTAACCACGTGCTGCATTTTTGGTGGATGAGTCGTTCATCATATTTCCACGACTTGTGTTAACACCCTAAGTTTAAGGGTGGTAAAGCTTTAGGAACCTTCCAATAATTGGACCGATATTCAAACCATCTTCACTATTTAGCTTATAAGCCCCGCCGGTGTAAACTTCTAGAATCACGTAGGGACCATCCCACCTTGAAGTGAACTTGTGGCCGGTTTTTCTTGTGACAATGATGGGCCTGCGAACAGCTAGGACTTTGTCCCCAATTTGAAAGGAACGGGTCCTTACCCTTTTGTTAAAAGCTCTAGACATACGAGCTTGATAGCACTCCAAGCTTTGTTGCGCTTGCAGACGTTTTTCATCCAAGGCTTCTAACTCAGCCAAGCGTAGTTTAGCATTTTCTTCATCGGTAAGACCCTCCTGTATGGCCAACCTTAAGGAAGGTATTTGGCGCTCTAGAGGCAAGACCGCTTCTACACCATACACCAAAGAGTATGGAGTGCTTTCAGTAGGTGTGCGGTATGTGGTTCTATACGCCCACAAAGCTTCTTCCATTCTGTCATGCCAGTCCCTTTTCGATTTTGAGACCACTTTCTTCAACAAATTGCATAGGGTCTTGTTAAAAGCTTCAGCAAGCCCATTTGCAGCTGCATAGTAAGCTGATGAGTTTCGCTGCTTAAAGTCAAAAAGCTTGCAGATCTTGTCCATCAACTTGTTGTCAAAGGGCTTCCCGTTATCTGTTAAGATATATCGCGGGATACCAAATCGATAGACGATGTGGACACCGGAGAAAGTCTGCAACATTTTCTTTCTTCACCTCCTTCAATGCTACAGTTTCCGCCCACTTTGAAAAGTAGTCGGTGGCAGCTAATATGTATGTGTGCTCTGCAGATGACTTAGGCGTAATTGGGCCAACCACATCAAGTCCCCAAGCATCAAATGGCCAAGATGCAACTGTTGGGTGTAGAGGTTCTGGTGGCTGATGAACAAAGTTTGCATGATATTGACAAGCTTGACACCTTCGGGCGTAGTCTATGTAATCCTTTACCATTGTAGGCCAATAATATCCCATTCGCTTAATGTGGAAGTGCAACTTGGGACCGGATTGATGTGCACCGCAAACCCCAGAATGAGCTTCTTGCATAGCTTGTAAAGCTTCCTCTTCCCTTAGACATCGGAGAAAGACTCCCTCAAATGAACGACGATACAACGTCTCTTTATAGTAGATGAAGCGAAGAGCTCGACGCTTTATATCCACCATCTTACGAGGATCTCCAGGTAACTTTCCATCGATGAGGTAGTCAATCAACGGTTGCCTCCAGTCGTCCTTGCCTATATCATAAACTGAGGCAGTAGGGAATTCAACAGTTTCATCAACTGAGCTGTCTTCATTGAAGATTGGCGGAACTACCCACTTTTGACATACTTGCACTCGGGCTGCAGGATGAGCAATAGTTGAAGCCAATGCGGCTAAGGCGTCAGCTTGCTTGTTTTCTTTCCTCGGTACATGTTCAATTGTGACGTCCCCTAACCATTGCATGAGTATCTTTGCATAGTTGTTATATGGGACTAACTCTGCCTTTTTCACTTCATATAGACCCAACACTTGGTTTATGATCAACTTTGAATCTCCATAAATGTTAATTCTTAATCGCTTCATGTCAGCTGCTATTTCGAGCCCAAGTATCAATGCTTGGTACTCAGCAACGTTGTTTGAACATTGCTCGGTCAAGGTGAATGAATATGGCAACACCTCGCATTCTGGAGTGACGAAGACAACTCCAGCACCTGCCCCTTCTCTATGCGAAACTCCATCAAAGTACATCTTCAATGGGGGTAGGACTTCAATGACAGGCACATCTTCATCAGGCAAATCGTCAGACAACTCCCATTCAGCAGGTATTGGGTGATCTGCGATGAAATCAGCTAAGGCTTGCCCCTTGACAGACTTCTGCGACACATAGATGATTTCAAATTGTTGAAACAATAAGTACCACCTTGCAAGGCGGTCGGAGAGGACGACCTTCACCATAACATACTTCACCGGGTTCGCTTTGGAAACAAACCGGATGGTATGAGCCTCAAAGTAGTGCTTAAGTTTTTTATGGCGAACACAAGTGCCAAACATAGCTTTTCAATTGGGGAGTACTTTAACTCGTTCGGGGTCATCATTCTACTAAGATAGTACAGAGCATTCTCCTTCCCCTTGTCATTTTCCTGAGCAAGCAAGGCGCCCACAGAACTGTCTTGGGCGGAGATATAGAAGATTAGTGGGCGACCGTGAACAGGAGTGGTTAGCACAGGCGGCTTCATCAAGTATGACTTGATACTCTCAAATGCGTTCTGGCATGCCTCATCCCATATGAATGGGATGCCCTTTTTCATCAACCGACTAAAAGGTTGACATCTTCCTGCTAGGTTTGATATGAACCTTCGGATGTAAGCCAACTTCCCTTGTAAGATTTTAAGCTCATGAAGGTTTCTTGGCTCAGGCATCTTCATTATAGCGTCAATTTTAGCTTGTTCAATCTCGATGCCCCTGTGTCGAACAATAAACCCGAGGAACTTTCCAGCAGCAACCCCAAAAACACATTTCAAGGGATTCATTTTGAGTTGAAACTTTCTCAGGCGGTCAAAGACTCGTCTTAGATGTATCAAGTGGTCTGCGCGGAGTTTTGACTTCACAACCAGGTCATCTACGTAGCGTTCGACCATTTTATGGAGCATATCATCAAATATTGTCTGCATAGCCCTTTGGTATGTAGCACCTGCATTTTTCAAACCAAAGGGCATTACTTTGTAACAGTAGATGCCTTTCGGTGTTCGGAATGCAGTTAAGTCTTCATCTTCCGGCGCCATGCGGATTTGATTGTAACCGGAGGAGCCATCCATGAACGACAGGATCTCATGTCCAGTTACGGCATCTATCATTAGCTCTGTGATAGGAAGCGGGAAGTCATCTTTCGGGCATGCAACATTGAGATCCCGAAAGTCTACGCACACGCGGATCTGGTCATTCTTCTTGCGCACGGGCACAATGCTGGATATCCAGGCTGGATATTTAACTTCACGAATGAAGCCAGCCTCTATAAGCTTATTGACTTCTGTTTCAATCGAGAGAATGAGCTCGGGGCGGAAGCGTTGTTGAGCTTTCTTAACCGGGCGACACCCCTTCCTCACTGCTAAGCGGTGCACAGCTACCTTTGGGTCTAACCCTGGCATCTCCTTGTATGTCAATGCAAAGACATCAATATATTCTTTCAGCAACGTGACATAGATTTCTTCATCTTCATCAGAAAGGAGTGCGCTAATGAAGATAGGACGAGGTTTTTTAGGAGTTCCCAGATCAACTTCTTTTTATTCATCCACTGCGGCTCGTACCCCTTCTTCTAACTCAAAGGGTGCCGCTTCTGCATCTTCTCCCTCAATCGGAGTCTCATCACATAAAGTGATATGGAACGACGATGCCACCTCTCCCTGAGTAGTTGGTGGTACGTCATCACTTGAGCCTACGCTTTCCTCATTTTCCTCTTTATGTACGCGAGTGTGTACAATGGTCTTCGGTTGGACTTTCAACACTTCACCACACGAAACATGAATATATGTTTCTCGTCTCATACGAGAAGGAATCATGCTTCTAAGCCTTTTGGGAGGTTCCACTTCAGCAGGAACATTGGCACTGTCTTTAATAACTTGGACAACTCCAAATCGATCATGCATTGACTTTCTCTTTAGGGCTTTAGGACTTGACCCCAGTCTATCAAAGACTGAGCGTCGAGAGTTCGCCTTACCCATTCGGTCGAAGACTGACTTCTTTTTGTCTCACCCATTATCATTGGTAGGAGTGATTTTTGGATCATACTCGCTTCCCTCCGCGGAGATACAATTACTTGCAGCTCTGTTTATAAGAATTCGCACTGGTTTAGGGGGGACATAGCCCAACCCTTTGCGCGTTTGAAGTTCTTGGTGATTTGCCTTGCCTCTACCACCGGCTTCTGGGATAAGCTTTCCCAACTTCTGTGGCTCGTTGGGGTTATAGCCAGCCTTGGCTAGAAGCTTATAAGCGTTGGGGTCGAAACCCTCGATACGATTGATGGGGAATATTTGGCCTACTTTATCATCACCTTTCTCTTCAGATAATTTTGCTGCATTTGCTTTAAGTGTATCAATCCTTGCAAGCGGGAAGATGAGTTTCGTGTTGTGTTGATCTCCCCCTACAACTTGTTTTCCCTTTGACTTTAATTGGGAAGGTGGATCGTCATTGCGTTCCTCAATATCTTCAACAATAACTTGCCTTTTAATGTAGAACTTTGCGTCTGCAAAGTAAGACTCAGCCTCTGTGAAAGGGCTTTCATCGGCGACAACCTTTTCAACTACGCCGTTCCTTTCAAACATGAGGCATTGATGCCAAGAAGAGGGTACCACCCCATTTTCATGTATCCATGGCCTTCCAAGTAACAAGTTATAAGATGTCCTAGCATCTATGACATGGCAGAGGACACCTGAACTCAGTCTTCCAATTCTTAAGTCAAGTCTGATGATGCCGATTGCTCTTTGCCCTCCTTGGTTGAAACCTTGTATCATTAGACGACTTTGGGCAAGCTCATCTGTAGATATACCAAGGTCCTTCACAGCTCGGAGCGATAGGATGTTGACAATTGAGCCTTGATCAACCATAATTCTTTTGAGCTTTTGCCCACGAGTATAGCCTTCAACAAACAGTGGGCGATTGTGTGGCGTGCCTCCAAGTAACAAGTCTTCATCCTTGAAGGTAATTTCCGTGGAGTAGGAAGTAGCCTTATGCATTAACACTTCCTCATCCTCTGTGTGTTTAGGAGATGAACATTCACCTCCATCTTCTGGCTTTTCATTTGTATTTAGGCAGGAGCTAGCAGTGTCTACCCCTTGAAGATTTGGCATATATTGAGCCAAAGGAACTGGTGCTCGTGGTTGCTTGACATGCCCCTTCGTCTTTGGTCTGCGGGCATGGCCACTTGTTGAGGTTTTCTCATCCCAACTTTTCACTATGTGCTTTTGATGCTCCATAGGCTCAACTTTCTTCTTTCTATGAGTGACAATCACCCATTTTCCTTCGGACGTGTTATCATTTTGTCGTGGTTCTGAACTTTGACCGACAGCGTGCTTAACAACGAAGGGGAGTGGACGCTTTCGTTGTTTCCCATCTTCCTTTTCAGTACACAGCGGAGCGAACCGTCCGGGTGTAATCGAGATTTGATTTGAGCTCGCTTTGGCATCGGCAAACTCAATTTTCCCATCCCTGGCCAGTGCCATTACTTTATCTTTGAAGATAAAACACTTCTCAATTGGGTGACCAAGCAGACGATGGTACTTGCAATAGTGTGGATCATCCACTCTTGAAGCTTCCTCATGACGTTTCATTTCTGGCAACTCAATGAGTCTAAGTTTGAGTAGCTCATCAAACATGGGAGATACATCAGAATCCATGAAAGGATAAGTCTTCTCCTGCCTTTCTTCAATTGTCGGCCTTCTACCACCCCTTGACGGGCTAGAAAATGGTCTTGGCCTAGGCCTTTCAGTTGCCTTAGTGAAGACTGTCATAGGAGTAGCCTTCACATTCATCACTTCTTTCTTTTCTTGCTTTGGAAAAGGTTTGTTCGACTTTTTAACTTCTTGTTTTCCAGGTGCATTGGAGGAGCTAGGCAAGTTCAATATGTTGAGCCCTCCGCTAGCTTCGATGCTTAACTCCATGTCGTGAGCACGACTGGATAACTCTTCGAATGACTTTGGCTTAATCCCTTGTAGGATATATGAGAGTTCAAAGTGCATGCCTTGGATGCACATCTCAATTGCAGAACTTTGGGATATTCTTTCTTTGCAATTCAGGCATAGTTCCCTCCACCTTTCGATGTAGGCACCGGCGCGTTCGCCCTTCCATTGGCGAGTGGTAGTGATTTCCAAGAAGCTAGCTGTTCTCCTCGTGTTATAGAAACGGGTTAAGAACTCACGTTCCATATCATGCCAGCTATCAATGCAGCCAGGCGCGAGGTCAGTGTACTAATCAAACGCAATTCCCTTTAATGAACGAACAAACTGCTTTACCAACAGATCGCCATAAGTCCCGGCATCATTGCATGTTTCCACAAAGTGGGCAATGTGTTGTCGAGGGTTTCCCTTGCCATCAAACTGCTGAAACTTAGGAGGTTGATAGCCATAGAGCATTTTCAGCTCCTCAATTCTTTATGTATAGGGCTTAGCATAGGAATATGAATGCTGGCTGTCATCCAACTTGCCTTTGATAGCCCCCATTATGTAGTCTTTCAACTGATCCACCGGTATCACGCCTTCGGTAATTGGAATAGTTTTCTCAGTTGCAGGTAAGTGGGAAGAAGTTTCTCCTGCCGCATGGCTAACAGGAGGTGGTGGTGATTGCTGACCAACCTCTTCTTGCCCTTCGGGTTGCTTTCCAAGAGCACGGCTTCCTTGATCCTCCATGATGCTCCCTACCCTATTATCGAAGGTGTTAAGCCGTTTCTCTTGATTTTGGAGAGCGACAACCATTCTTTCCAGAGACTTAGCAATTCTAGCTAATTGCTCCTCCACAGACTCTGTGTTTGTCGCCATGGCCGGCATGACATTGTAGACATGCGACCACTCAGGTGCAGCCTTCCATAATGGGTGTGGCGGAGTTACGGGGGAAGTGCTCCCGCTACTAGCGTTCCCTTGCATAGAAGTTGGACTACCACCATCGGTAGCTCCCTTGGGTGAGGGTGGACTTCCAGCAAAAGCAATTGCCTTTGAGGCAGCAGGGGCCTTGTCGAGCCTTCGAACCACCCGTTCGTGCCATGGACTGAGGTTCAGGCACTTGGACACCCAAATCCTTTGCGCGGTTCCTTGTCAGCGGACCTTGCGTTTTCTGGGTAGTGCCAGAGCTAGCTGCAGGCGTAGACTTAGACTTGGTAGCTTGGACATAAGTCCTCCTGAACATGGGATTGTTCGATGCCATTTGATGCGCAGGTAGAGGTATAGTAGTAGTAGAGAGATGAGAGGCAG